CTCTCTCTCTCTCTCTCTCTCTCTCTCTCTCTCTCTCTCTCTCTCTCTCTCTCTCTCTCCCCCCCCTCCCCCCGTCCATTCCGTACTTGCAAGGCCGGTCTCTGGTGAATCGAATTGAAATGGTTCAAATAAGTTGAATCAGGTGACATGGAGATGCATCTGTTCGGGAAACGGCAGACGTCGACGACATTCCAAACCATGTGAGATATGTGAGAATTAAGAAGACAGAAGACTGTTTCAGGTGTTTGCTACACAGGAGAGGGATGCAAAACCAGCGCCGCAGGGGTTAAGGGAAGAACCCACTCGATGGGGCTCACAAGAACTTTATGGGCTGCTGCTGTCTGGACTCTCCTAGCGACGGATTCGGGGAGTTCTTTTCGCGTGCTCTCGTGCCCTGCATGGATCTTATCACCTCCTCTTTCCTTCACTTTTGCATGCAGTAAATCGCTCGATTTACTGTCCCTGAACAGGACACAAGTCCATCTTGCCCTTCCCTCTCCAGATAGTTCCTTAGCGAGTCCTCAAGTAGTGACGCACACACACTCAAGATGTTCGACCACGACGAATAACCGTCCTGGTTGTCACCCCATGAAAACGAGGATAAGGGCCTCGCTTCACTGCACAGCATTCGAAATGGATGCGGACCTGTAAATGGTCCCAAAACACTCAAAACATTCGATCACTGATGCACCTGGTGCCAAAAACTGCCCAGATACGTGTCATGTGTTGAGTGGCGGAACGAGGCCCTAAGGCAACCTGTGGCAGGCGTGATTGACGCAAATGTGGCGGTCTCTACATCCACGAGGAATATGACGTACTACTTCCTCTATTCTCCAAAGAAGAAATCCACTAAAGATGAATATAGACTTTGATAAGGAAAACGACAAAGCAAGCAATGACGACGGAGAAGTCGGACACAAGGAAGCAAACCACGTTAAAGCATTGGACTGATTGTACAACCAAACAATCGAAGATAGCCGCAGCAATGGTGAAGAGAAAGAGAAACGAGTGTCTACATATATTGTATACACATATTTGGGTAATCAACGATAAATGGTCTTTGTTTTGATACAAACAAAAAGAAGAAGATCTATATGAGAAGCTGCACAATCAATTGGAGCGGGCTGTGCAACAATCGCATTAGCTGGAGCCGCTATAGGTATTGGAAACGTGTTTAGTTCTTTGATTCATTATGGTGCACGAAATCCATATACATGTACATTTCCATACATCTGTATGCATTGACGATATACACGTATATACATATACATGTACAGACTTCAGCCAGCTGACGAGTCGGTGAAACTCCGACACAACAGTTTGTCACAGCCCCTCGTTTCTTGTCCTCTTCTCCCCTCCCTCCCTCTCTGCCTACGGATTGCCGGGCAGCTCTGTTTGACGATATATCTGATTTGACGATATATATACATTGACAATACATGTGTACTTCTAGAAGTATATGCTGAAACTAGTTTACTTTGGAAAACGATGATAATACACTCAGCAACGAATCGAGGGCGGGCGGAAAACAAATCAGAATAGATTCGAGAAAGGGAATCAGAATAGATTCGAGAAAGGGAATCAGAATAAATTCGAGAAAGGGAAGCAATCTCGACACGTACCGGTAGCGCGCAGCACTAAACAGCCATGGAAAGCGCGCGGGTAAGTGGGAAGACGAGGAAGCGAAAGGCGAGAGAAACAGCGATCTCTCTTCGCAGGGCGATCCACTGAGCCGTGAGCATCACAACGGCGTGTAGAGAAGAGACACCACAACGATCAGAAGACAAAGACGGGGGGTCACTAAGACAAAGACGGAATCTAAAAGGAGCCCTCGAACACGTAAAAGAAACAAGTACGGCCACACAACGTAACCAAAAAAAAAAAAAAAAAGAAGACCGCACGCGAAGACTACCATGATTATTTACCAATAAGCAGAGAGCTAGGAGCGCAAGGAGAAAGAAGATAGATAACGGGATCCACAAGGACAAGGATGTGAGCAAGTTCCAGAGACCTCAATACAGGGGAAAAGATGGAAATCTTTTTTTTTCGTCTTTCAACGATGAAAAACCTAAAGCCCTGAGAGAAGGAGAATGTGCAAACGAGGGGAATATGAAGAGGGAACAAGCAACTAGAAAGAGATCGGAACCATGGTATATGACAGATGAAAGACATGAGACATCAGATGCGAGTTGTAAAAAGAGCAAACATTTCACTCAGACGATGAGAAAAGGCGGGAGAGAGTAGTAGGATAAGAATGAACACAACGATTATTATGAACGCCGTCGGGGCTAGAGAGCGCCATACTTATGACGTCCACATTCACATCACCTTCGACACCATCTGTGCTATGATCAGATCTAAGATGAAAACATTTACACTGATGCCATGTGTGTGCTACGCCGAGGTGTGGATTAACTTGGCCCTCTGGTTTCCCCTCTGGTTTCTTCAACGGCAAGACGAATTCGTCATAGATTTGCCACCGGTTCGATCGCCAATCGATTTTAATCTTCATTGACCAACGATGCTACCCCACCAATCATGGTTGGTTACCAGTCTCTTGCTTGGATCTCTCTCTCTCTCTCTCTCTCTCTCTCTCTCTCTCTCTCTCTCTCTCTCTCTCTCTCTCTCTCTCTCTCTCTCTCCCCCAGCACGCAAAATGGACATCGGGGAGTTTCTTCATTGAATTGTCACTCCCCTCACTCAATTCTTCCCTGCTTTCCTACTCCCCTTCCAGCTTCTACCTGGCTCCTTAATTCCGCTTTTTTCTTTGCTGTCTCCCGCCGTCTGTCTTCTCTCTCTCTCCCCCGCACACACAAAATGGACATCTGGGCGTTTCTCCATTGAATTGTCACTCCCCTCATTCAGTTCATCCCTGCTTCCCTACTCCCGCTCCAGCTTCCACATGGCTCATTTTTTCCGCTTTTCCTCCTTGCTGTCTTCCGCCATGTCTCTTCCTCAGCGCCCTGCCTCATTTCGACTCTCTCTCTCTCTCTCTCTCTCTCTCTCTC